TAGTGCGACTCTTACCAGAATACCAAAGTTTAAAACCTAAATTATCAATCTCCTTAGCCTTTTCTCCCACCCACTTAGTTTCTTGAATACATAAGATATTAATTTTTCTATGAATCATAATATCAACTAATTCCATTAATTTACCATTGAGAGTGCCTATATTCCAAGATCCTATCCTAATATTAGTTTCATTAGTTTCATGGACTAACTTCTTTACCCGCATTCGCCCGTAATGTGGGAACCCTTGCTTATTTAACACTACACACGGGCGCCGGTGTAGCGGCCCTTGCACACTTTTCACTGTATTCAGGCTACACAGCGCGTCGCTTCCAGGGGACGCCCTAGCACTTACACAATGATCAAAAGGATTCATGTGATGATTTTTTTCGACAAGTTTTACGCTGGCTGTCGACTACCTAACGCAACCCTCCACTTTTCTCATCCGGGGCTTGGGACCGACAACGGCAGTGTTCCAAGGCGCATTTACATATAAGGTTGAATTTTACGATTGTAGGAAATACTAATGTTATATAAAGCAAGGCGCATTTACATATATAGCACACAATTCTTATGTATTTACATATCTCACACCTAAACTTTCATATTTATTCACATAGCACTCTAATATTTAAAAGCACATCAAAATATATTACTACCGCGTTTTAAAAGTGAAATAAACTTTTTCATGCATGGGTTTAAAGCAACAAAGTGCTATATATATGTAAATATGAAAGCTTAGGTGTGAGATATGTAAATACAAAAAAATTGTGTGCTACGCATGTAAATTTCCCATAAAGTAAATGATGGATTATGCTATATATCATCATCATTAATTGGCCTTATTCAGCAGCTTTACGAACCTTTCCCCTTCATTCGTTTCTATCATATATTACATGCAATCTTATGTGTTAACTTTGAATTATGCAAATCACCATTCATAATTTCTAATCAGATTATCTTTTACCTATCCAAGTTTCCGTTTTTCATGAATATCCCTTTCTCTCGATATGTCTTCAATTCGATGTTAGCTATAAACATGTCATGAATACGAGCCGTTTGTCTTTTGATTACAGGTGGGTTATTAGCTCACCACGCCTTTGATAGTCTATGTAACCATTATATTTTAAATTCATACTGTGACGCTTGGAGATCAATCAATCCCTCATCCACAAAAGCAGAACTTGAAAATGGCATTGACACCAACAATACCAAAAGTCTGAATATAGCGATGTCACATATATGCCCGAAAAAGTAAATTTTTAGAACATAAAAAACTTGCCAGCGAAATGATGGTTCATTGAGGCAAATCAATTTCTTTTATAAGTTGTATTATAAATATTTTCTTTTCCTGAAAAGGTCGAGCAATAGCTTGCTTGGAGGAGCGTTTCTTAATTTACTTACTTGTAATCATTCCAACCCACCACAATGGCTCCTGCAAGTATGAGAAGCCTCCCGAAGCTGAATCAGAGAAAAAAAAACAACAACAAAATGCCGTCAATAGCAACTCAACTTAGATGACCAAACCCAAAAACAATAATAACAACATAGAATGACTCCATTTCAACAAAATTAACCCACCTGCTCTTACTCCAAAAGTGCCGGCTCTCTTAAGTCCCTTCTTCTTCACAATAAAACTAGTACCGATAAAAAAACTGGAGGACAGGGCAAGCGCAAAGCCTCGGCAGTTGTCCGCTGACATCCCCATGAACGAAAATCGCTGCACCTAAACCCTAATCCTCCCTGCGAAACAATCCCTGTAATACGGAAACTTAAACGAGTCTGAAATCAGAAAACCGTCTTCTTCCTCTCTCCCAAACTCAGCAACTTTCTTCTCACCAATACCAAAACAGCAACCGATCCCTTTCTCCGGCGAGATCGCCGGAAAATATGTACTCGTTCGCACAGCGATCGAGTCGAAAACTGGAGGAGAAGGAGAAAGCGCGCTTCGAGATACCATTTCCGTCGAAACTTTTTATAAGATGAATGTCCTGTGAGATACCGGCTCCATTACCAGATGGCTGTTATCATGCACCTTCGCATCAACTTTATTATCGTGATTCCGCGCTTACGACCGGATGATTTTGTTGAGAGCGGAATGGAGGGCTCGTTGCGGTCGACATTTGGCATCTGGCTAACGTGCTCTGCAGATACATTATAATGGGTTGAACTTTTAAAATTGGGGGTCGGAGCGCCGAAACAGGTACGAAATTCATTCGACAACCGGCTGCAGTTTTTTAAATAAAATAATTTACTTAGGCAATAGCACTAAAAATTATGTTGTGATTTTGTGCCATTACTATAAAAAATATAAACTAAATAAATTAATTTTAGAAATAAAACTCAAAAAACAAAAAAGAATCAAAAAGTTCTCGTGCAAAAACTGCATCAGGACTCCAATCATTGTCTGACACGTGTACAATCGGGCCCTCTCAGTAAAAAATAAATAAATAATTTAATATACAATGAGGCCGGAGTGTACACGTGACACACAATGATTGGGGTCATTTGCATTAGGACTTCTGATGTAATATTTTTTTTCCAAAATAGTCCCTTAATTATTTAATTTGTTAATATATTGAAATTATAAGAATCCAAATACATATATATTTGTCTCATTTGAATCTTTGTAGGAAATTCAGGGGTATTGCTTGCAATATATATCACTTGCCATATTTACATTTACATATCCAACGTCTAAGAGAGATCTCACTTACAAGGCATTTATAATTTCTTACTTATATAACACATTACTTTTTAAGAAGATTTAGAGCCCGTTTGGGGCAGCTTATTTGGTGTGGTGGCATTTTGAAAACGCGTCTAGCCTGTTTGAGTAAACTGTGTTTTGGCATCTTATGCGTTTTCAAAACGCAGAAAACAGTGTTTTCACATCACACATATCTAGGTGCGGTACACATATCTAGGTGCGATGGGAGCTTATTGGTAACGGTCTGGGTTTTCCAAAAAAATAAAAATTTGTAATTGTCACCGCACCTAACTTATCAGTAGATTATTCTAGATCAAACAGAACCTTACTTACATGTCACTCAGCTCCTATGTATTTATATAACTAACCCATAAGTTTCATTTTTTTTTTTTACATATATGCCACGAACTATAATAATCTTTGCATAAATATTATGAAAAAATTGTATTTCCAATGTACATGTGATTCAGAGTAATTTAGTCGGCGAAAGCAAAGGCTCACGATTGAGAGAGGGACCGCATAACACGGGTGGTGTCCGCGTGGGAAATACAGCTGGCGTTGAATCGATGGCTATTCTAAGTCAAACTATCGTTTTTGTCTGACTCACTGTAATTGATAATTTATGATTGTTATTTCCGTACTGAAATGGTCTTTATTTGGAGAGCTAAATTGTTTCATCTCTCTGCACTTTTCTGACATATTCTTTTCTTAAGAGAGAGAGTTGCATGAAAATGTTTATAAGAGAAGACCACAAGGGAGTTATTTTGTTCATTTTATTTTGTCTTCACTTAATATATATATATTAATAAAGAAATCGGCATTTAGTTGAGGATCAAATACTGTTTTTTTCATGCGTTAAGCCTCATAATGGGAAAATATTTACGTACGTAAGACGTGCGCAGAGCTGCGTACGTCGGGAGATTATTCAGAGGGTATAAGGGGGTTATATCCATGTTATACCCCATTTAACCTCCTTGTAACCTACCTGTAATATATCTGTAACCTAATTTAATCTCCTTGTAACCTACCTGTAATATATCTGTAACCTATAAATAAGTTACACACTTCTGTAATTCTGATTGTTACAGGTAAGTTACAGAGAGGTTGCAGGAGGGTATAAAGTGGATATAACTCATCTGTAACCTCTGAATAACTCCCGACGTAAGCAGCGTTGCGTACATCTTACGTACGCAAATATTTTCCCCCCGTGATGAGAGTCCTTGTCATTTGCCTAAATATCAAGATAGATAGAAAGTAGCTTCGTATATAGTATTTAAAATCAACTGGAAACAAATCGAGATTGAGTCAACTTGATTTTAAATGGGGTGCAAATTTTATTAAGATTTAAATATTTATTATTTTCCTTTTTGAGACCTTTTACAATACCACATAATTCTTTCATTTTTACAAATCTAATCCAAAATCTCATATATATGTATCACTCAAATCTTTAATATCACAATACATTTATTTTCATGTGTAATTAAATTTATGACATTATGGTTTCAAAAATTTAAATATCAAGCTTTGGGTGTTAGATATGTCAATACTTAAAAATTGTGGGGGGGGCATGTTTGTAAATTTATTTTCATTTTTTAAACAGCACGAGGAAAATGTAATTTCTTGAAGGCTTATTTAACCGAAAGCTTAATTGACGTGAGTGTTAGGTTTTCAAAATAGCAGGCCGAAGACGACCAATCAAAATGGGACACGTCGATATGAAGGGTTGACCACGTGTCAATTCACTATTTGACCAGCTCGAGTCGCCTCCAGCCGGTAATCAGATCTTCTGAAACAAGGGAATCTAGTGCCCTCCGCTTACACGTCATGGAGATTTCCAAATACCTAAATAAAAGATCATTACATAATATAAATTTAACATTAAACATTATTATATATGTTTTAATAGCCGAAATTGAAGAAAGGGCAGAAACATTTTTTGGTTAATGTTAAGATTTTAATTTTTTTGGCATTGATGGGGCATGTTGATAAGTAGTAAAAAAAAATATTTATCTTGTTCATGCACAAATTTTAATGTTAGGATAAGATTTTAATTTTTTTGGCATTGATGGGGCATGTGGATCTTATATTTTGCTTGGTTATATTGTGATTTATGCATGACACGTGTCCTATGATAGTTGTTGATAAGTAGTAAAAAAAATTTATCTTGTTCATGCACAAATTTTAATGTTAGGACTAGAAGATTTCACCATCAAATCAAATATTATTTACAATGAGGCTTTAACAAATTTATAATTAAATTGAACATCTAGACGGGACGGACGAAACATACGAGAAGCTTAGATTGGAGTCCAAGTGGGATCAAAACATGCACATGAAATATACGAGGAAATTTTGGTACTTTAATTAGTTGACAAAAGTGATCTTCAAATTTGACAATTTTATAGTCAGAATGAGCATCTTAATGAGAAGAATTCAATATTTACAATATTACTAAATATTGACATATTAAGATACTCAAACACTAAAAATATCATGTGATTAAAAGAATAACTCTAAGTCGTCCAATGTAACATGTATTTATGAATTGGGGTGGGACCTTAGAGTTCGAGAATAGCATCTTAATGAGAGCTATGATGCTCGGAGGATTCATGAGCTCCACTAATCCACCTCCACCAAACATCTAACCATCATACCCCAATCATTGTTAAACCACCATAGCCATTGTCGAACCACCAAAATAGTTAGGTTATTGCCTGACCATAGTTGCCCGCTAACCACAAATGGGCAACTAACATCGTAGATTGCCATTGTTGTCGTTAAATTATTTATGTTGTATCCATTGTCAGACCACCATCCTTGCACCATTACTTAGTCACAACAATTAAAAATGTCATCATTTGATTACTGCCATCGAATTTTCAACATACGGCCATCACTGCAAAACCATTGCTGCTTATGATCTTTCGTCATTAAACAACTACCATCCAACCGTTATTGTTGAAGCCTCAACCACATAAGATATATTAACCTCTGTCACCCAACTATAGTTGTTTGATAATGTTCACCAATATGCAACTTCCTAACCTCCTCGTTTATGAGTTATGGTCCATCAATTTCTATCACCCATTATTGCTTTCTGGCATCTAACATTTAGCAAGAATCGCCCATATATAACTTTCTGACATTCATCATTAGACTACAGTCCCTCAACTTCTATTGTTCGAGGATAACAAACCTTCAACACCAAAATACAATAACTTGATAACAACGCCTTGACCTTTGTCGTCAAATTAAGGCTCTGTGACATCTATCGGCTGACTACAATTATGCGACCTTCATCACCTAACTACAATCATTCGACTACATTCACTCATTTATAGTCTTTTGAATATCATCACTTAAACTATGATTTGCTACCCTCCGACATTCATTGATGCCAATGTCAACACCCTATGACCTCATCGCCTGTTATCGTCTATAACATCAACGCATATGATTCGTAATATAGTAAAAACATGTCATCCACACCAAGATGACACTAAACTTTTTTGTCTCTTAGATTCATTTTATCAAGAACGACAAAACGAGAAATAGAATAAGAAAAATTCACACCAGAAAACAATAACACAACAGAACACACAGATTTACGTGGTTCGGCAAATTGCCTACTCCACGGAGTCGCAAAAGATTTTACTACTTGAGGAATTTACACCAGTCGATCACCTCGACTTACAAGAGGAATCTCTCACTTCGTTGATCTCTCTTCTTCTCTCTTTGTTCTTCTCTCTCTATACTGTGAGATACATTCTCTCTCTACACCGAGATATACCGCGCTATACCGAAGAAGATAAAATTATAAGAGAAATAAACTCAATTTCTCTTCAGCCATAAGTCACCAAGAAATTAAGGGAGAACAATCTTCTTCTTCTTCTTTCTTCTTCCTTCACCGCAAGGAACTACTGTTTGCACTTTCCTTCCTTCCCGAAGAAGAACATCAACCGTGACTTAGAAATTTTCTTCTCTTCTATTAGCAACTTAAAGGAGAGATGGGAGGTGACGTCATTTCGTGAAATAGGGAAGGCGGGAAAGGTTAGCGGGAGCTAGGACGCGACTCTTGCGATCAGAAGAGAAGGAGCGGTCGTGACGAATCCTGATCGACTCTTGTACACGGAAGAGAGGGAGCGGTCGCGACGAATCGTGATCGGCAACAGGGAGGCGAAAGCGGGAAGCGACCTAGCGGGAGTGGTTCCTATCGGGCTCCAGCACTAACAATCTCCCACTTGGAGACTGATACACAAGCTACAACATCTCCTTCCTCAAACTGATATCCTCCATTGGCGTTGTCGCCCTTTTCTTCAAACATGAATCCTCCACCATGAATCCTCCACCATTGCAACTCAAAGCCCTTGTCTTCACTCCAGAAGACCAACTGAAGCTACGCACAACTTCAATTTCTCAAGAGTATTTCTCAAGAGTAACACCCTCAGTTCAATTTCTCAAGAGTAACACCCTCAGTCAACATATCAGCAGGGTCAACATAGCTTTGCACCTCCAAGCTATTTCCTGGATTACTCTTGTCTCTGGGCAATATCCTGACTGCATGGGCAATATCCTGTCTCTGTTGAAAGTCTTTTTCAACATGTCTAGCCTTGTACCTCTTACTGACATCATGCTCAGCCTTCACCTGGTACACTCACTTGTTGTGTAATGCCTTTTTTCCCTGGTGAAAGTTCAGCCAGCTCTCACTTGCTCGAACTTTCATCTTGTAAGATTTCTTCATAGCTCTGTGGTTTTTCACCATCTGTTTGTGGAACAATAGGAATGGGTGCCTCAGACTCATTCTCCTCTTCGCTTCCATCATTAATAGGACTATGAACTGTCAGCAATAGTGCATCATGCACTTCTTCAGATACCACACTTGTGTTATCATTCTCCATCTTTTTGGGATTCGTGCAGTTCCTCTTTATGTGACCAGCCTTGCCACAATTACAGCAGATCTGCTGACCAGACTTTGATTTTGATATCCCTTTATTTGAGTTATTGTCTTGTCATCTCCCTCTAAAATCAACATTCAATGTCAAACTCGTACCTGAGATCTCACCAGAATCTTTCTTGCGAACCTCCTCAGCCAGAATCAAATCACGAATATCATCACATTAGTTTAGATTTACCTGCAAAACTCCTAACTGTCATCCTCATGGCTTCCCCATTATTTTGCTTCCCAATTATTTGGCAATGATGCATCCATGCATGTATCTCATCATCAAAATAAATTTCAACAGACGGCAATGCAATTGATTTGTGATAGTATGTGATAGTATTGAAATCATTCAGGTATTGAGCAACAGAAACACCTTCCACTATCTTCAAGTTGAATAACTTTCTTAATCAAGTACACGCTGTTATTCATCGATGACTTTTCATACATACCTGATAAGGCTACCATGAGATCTACAGTCGTCTTTTTCTTGACGACCTTGTGTGCAACGAATCTCAATAGGGTCAATCGAATAACCCCTAGAATTTGTCGATCTAACAAATTTCATTCAGCCTCATCCATCCTTTCAGATTTTTTCCCCAATAACGGAAGATGATGTTTCTTCCAATAAAGGTAATTCTCTATCTGCATTCTCCAATAACCAAAATTTGTGTCATCAAATTTCTCGATCCATGAAACATTCACTTCATCTGCAGTCATCGTCGTCCTCAGATCCGAAAAAAGCTCTGATATCAGTTGTTGAGATATACAAGAAATACCCGTTATTGTGGTGTGTGTGTGTACAGTCATCGTCGTCCTCAGATCCGAAAAAAGCTCTGATATCAGTTGTTGGGATATACAAGAAATACAAGTTATTGTGGTGTGTGTGGGTGTGTGTGGGTGTGTGTGTGTGTGTGTGTGTAAACAAGAGAACAATTGACAACGAAGCGAAAAACAGAACGAGAAAAAATCACACCATAAAACAGTAACACAGCGGAACACATAGATTTACGTGGTTCGGCAAATTGCATGCGTCCACGGAGTTGCAGAGAAATTTACACCAGTCGATCACCTCGACTTACAAGAGGAATCTCTCACTTCGTTGCTCTCTTTTCTTCTCTCTCTGTTTTTCTCTCTCTACACCGAAATACACCGAAAAAGCTCTACACTGATATAGACCGAAGAAGATAAAATTATAAGAGATATAAACTCAATTTCTCTTCAGGCACAAGCCACCAAGAAGAAGTCAAGGGAGAATAATCTTCTTCTTCTTCTTTTCTTTTTCCTTCACCGCAAGGAACTACTGCTTGCACTTTCCTTCCTTGACAAAGAAGAACACCAACCGTGACTTAGAAACTCTTCACTTCTATTCGCAACTTAAATGAGAGACAGGAGGCGGCGGCGTTTTGCAAAGCATGGAAAGCGGGAACGGTTCTCGGGAGCTGGGACGCGACTCTTGCAATCGAAAGAGAGGGAGCGGTCGCGACGAATCACAATCGGCAACCGGGTGGCGGAAGCGGGAGCGGTTCCTATCAGTCTCCAGCGCTAACACATTCCTCAAGCAATCACTTGAATGCGACTCTGAGTCGTCCAAGTTTCTCTAGTTTACATCATGGAGTTCACTTTACACAAGTCATGGCTATTATAATATATCAATGCCTCCACCAACTAAATGCAATAAAGGATGTTATTTGTAACATATAACATATACGAGTAAGATAATTTCAATTGATCAAGCTCCGTAATTTTTTCCTATATGATTTTTCCATGTAAAAATTTCGATGTCTTTGTTTTCAAATCTTTTTAATGTGTGTGCATGTGATGGATCTTCATATAACACTAAGACGTAAATCTCTTATTTTATCACCACAAATCTTCTTGCACATAATAATAGTGATTGGTA